ATATTTTTTTTTAATTTTATCTTTTTATATTTTTATTCTAAGAAATTGGTAATTATTTTTTTAGCTCTTTTCCTAAGGTGTGACATTGTTTTTTTACACTATTAAAAAAAATTAACCCGGCTTACAGTAAAGCATCAGCCACAGCAAAGCGTGTGCCTTATGTCTGGTTTGTTACTAAAAATAAATTCATTTTATCAAGTATGAAAAATCAACAAAAGCTGGACACGATAATTGTACTGACTTGGAAAAGCTCTACCTTCCATTATTTGAAAGGAGATATGTATGGGTGTGCTTTTGTTTTCATGGTAGATAATACAATCCAACAATTTGAATATAAAGATAGGTAGAGTATTATATATCTGACCTATATATATATTGGATCTCCATTTTTGAATTTACATGTATATTTAATTATTATATATATTATTTAAGAATAATTTTGTGAGATAATTAGTGTAAAGTATTTTGATTTTTTTATGGACAATAGACTTTTTTTAATTAAAATGTACCATGCAAAGAATTGTATCCAATAAATATAACTATGCAAAACTAAAAATTAGCTTCGATTGATGTTAATGCTATGCTTATACTCATATAGCTTAAACATTTTCAATATTATCTCTCTAGTTTTTAAGATTACTAATATTATCCTAATCGTTAAAAAGCTTACTGTTTAAATTTGGTTTTCGAATATATTTTTTTTTTGGAAATGTTTTTAAGTGTTTTTATGCAAATGATAACATCTATGGGTATATGAGAGGGAGTAAAAGAGAAATGTAAGGAAAATTGAAAGTTTTGATAGTTATTTAAGAAAAGAAAAAACAAAATGGAAACTATTAAAGAAAACTATAGGGTAAATTGGAAGGTTTTAAAGTATTGAGATGGAAGTGGAACTTACCTCATCCCCTGACCTGGCTCCAATACCTCCCAGATATTTTTCTGTAGCCATGAAATATTCTTCTCCCTCCTCCTTTTTGTTTTCGTTGAAGATTGCGGTGAAACATCAATCAATTTATTGTCAGAAAATGGAGTAGTTATCAGTTAATAGAAGCAAATATCTAATATTAATCATTTATTCCAAATTTTTCATAGGCACGAAGGCATCAATGTTGACTAGACTCATGATCCACGTGGATTAATAAAATCACTTTATTAATAAAATGAAGAAAACGAAATGAGAACATTGAAATGGAAATAATCTGATTTGTTATTTTATTCTGGCGCCTAAACAAATGTTGCCGGAAACATATAATTACTATTAATTATGAATTTCCAAAATAATGAGTTAAACAAATTAACATATATAAATTGAAATAATCTGATTTGTTATTTTATTCTGTACAGTATCTATCTATCGAGGTACTTGAGAGAAGGATTTTTGGTATTCTTACCCCTCTCAATTTAAACGAGAAGTCGTCTGATACATTATATTCGTACTGTTCGCTCAAGCCAAGATGTAGCATGAGAAGGGAGACATGAGTGAGTAACTCTCCACCTCTTCTCAGTTGTTGAGTATGTTCTTTCCATGGACAATGAGCTGCTGCATATGCAACCATTTCTACCCAAACTTCATTTATCGTCTCCCACCGCTTCTGACTGGGTCCCAATAAAAGCATTTGCCTGGCGAGCACATCCACACCACGTAACACTGACTTTTCTGTTTTCCAGCGCCTTTGAAACGATGCATCGTCATAAACACGTGATTCACTGTTGCGCAATTCCCGCAAGGCACGTTGATATCCCTCGTCATCAGGACCACGATCTTTTAGACCCCACAATTCTAACAAGGTACTTTGATATTC